GTACAAGTTTTTAAATTACCCAACATTGTCATTCTAGGAAAATATAAGATGAAAAGAAAAGGAGGTTGGTGACCGATTGTGAGATGGTTATCACTTTTTCTAATAATTAAATTTGAACCATTTCAATATGTAGATTTGGTATGTTTCCTAGATATGGTAAAATTTCAAGTCCTAGAAAATTGTCTAAAGTCTCCATCATCTCTTCTTAAACTTCAATTTGTGGTATATAAAATTAGGTACTTTTGAAGGTGAAAATAGCATGATTCAAACTTTTGGGATACTTAACAAAACTTGTCTAAGTATAATTAGTAATAGTTATTTTTTTCTTATGCGCTAGCAGAAGATGTTTTCTATTTGACCAGATGATCAGAACACATCACATCTCTACTACGTTTGCTTGTAAAATTTTTAATAATCAAGATTGAGATCCCACAACTTAAATAAATAAATAAGTTTTAAACATTCCTAAAAACTTAAATTTGTAGAAGTATTGGGCACAGTTTTTTCCATACAATTAGAAATTAAAAAGATGATAAATGGTCATGATTTGGTGCAATATAGTCTACAATAAAGAGAAATTTTGATGTAATGAATTTTTGATATGTGACAGAAATTAAAATAAAGATGTTAGCTATTCCACAAAATCAAGGAAGTTGTTGATATAATGTTGAATAAGTCAATTTAGTTGAGAAAAATAAAAAATGATTCCATCATACATGGTTTTAGGGATTTTTGACAATCAAAATTCTATTTTAGCAATTAATGACACATGGCAAAAATTTATTTTGCAATGAAGGATTTAAAGTTGTTGAGATTCCTTTGATTTAATCAAGCATAATAAGGCTCTCGAAAGGAAATCATGATTGAATCAGGTTTCTGGCAAACAAATTCAATTATGGAGACTAATAAATACAACTTTTCAACACAATTTCCATTTGTAGGCTTGCCCTTCTCAACAACATTTACATTTCAATATATCTTAACTTAGTGTTAGTTTAGTTCATAGATAACTCTTACAGGAGCTCTATAACTTTTTTGTTGGTGTAAAAGAAGTTTAACTCTCTTAACGAGTTCTTTGTTTTTTGTTAAATTAGCTCTAGCAAATAGACTTAATATAGTTGATCTTCTTCTGCAAGCAAATTTCACATTTTTGTCCAATTGTCTAGATTCAATTTTTGCTTTGTTAGTAAGTTTATGTTTTAGCATTTAATTGTAATTAATTTTTCTTAAATTTTTAAGTAAAGATCTTAATTTCATTTCATTTTTGTTGGTAGTTATTTTTTATGTTTTCAACAATTTCGATTTACATTTCTAATGGTATTTTTAGTTTCCAATTCTAACTACATTTTGAGATTTCTAGCAATCTTTAGTTTTATGTCCCTACATTACTTTAGTTTTAGATAACCTTTTATTTTTGTCATGCACTCAATTCTTTTTTATTTTTATTATTTTTATTTTTACTTATTTTACTTCACAAACTAATTTTATTATGACCATAGATATGATATATCATGACATTCTTTCAAGCCATTTATTTATAAATTTTTAAGTAAGAATACACCTCTATTTTTGTTACAATCATCTAGTTAATATGTTATTGATATAAGCATTTAACCAAATGACATTCTTCCATCAATTTTTAAATTAGTTTTTTTGCTTACAAAAATTAAGGTCAC